GTGAACTCAAAGAAAGCCCTGACCGAGACTGCGTAAGTCCTTAAACAAGTATGATTGAGATAATGAGCTATGAGCTTGTAAGCATGTAAGTCAAGTTACGAAACCACTTTTCCTAACCTTTCAGTCAAGGGTCATTAACGTTTAACCCTGCAAAGAAAGGCATGACTGGGGCTGCCAGTCCTTCATGACCTTAAACGATATCGGGTGAATACCTCTCATACTACTGATTTACTGGTAGTCTCGAAACTCTGCTCAAATACGAAAATAAGTACATGCCAAGCATAAGCACTAATCGAAGCAGATTTGCTGGGAACAGCGTCATTCAGAAGGTTCAGCAGTCTTGTTCTTTACATCCGCACCTACATTCACTCACTTGCCTCGAAATGGAAGGCAACAACTCAACACTGTTGTCATCTCAACATGCGACTGGCCATGCACAGCCTCCTGACAGACCCAGACCGCCATTTTCAGGTCAGGCGTAAGTAAAGATATGAAGACCTTTGGCGTGGTCGCAGTCTCTTTTCGATGTACCAAAATGGACTGACCTCGCAACTAATTCCTGTTGTCAGGGCGACTTATTTGGACACACTTTGTCCGAAGTCCTCTTCCATAGTTGTCAAAGTAATTCCTAGCGTCGGACCGTGGATTTGGTACATTCTCACACGTTGCGCCGGCATTCTACACGGCTTCATCAGTGAGTCTTGCCATTCTCAACGCCAAGCTGCAACTCGTCCAAGAGACATTTGCGTTCGGACAAGAGGCGTCTAACCAAGTCGCCCTGACAACACGACCAGGTTTGAACAGTTGACCAGGCTCTAGTGTACAGGAAAGTATGAGTAGTATTGGCGTAAACTAGTTTAAAGCAAAAAAAACAACAACAACTTTGATTAGCTTCGGTTGTTTAAGGTGATTTAAGGAAGGACGTTTCGGTTTTTCCTATCAAAAAAGACGACTAGATCACACTTTCCTATTGCATTTCACCTGACCTTGCCTCCCAAAAATGTATCTCATTCGACTTCGCCTCAACTCGTTTCATTGTCACCTTTAACGGGATTCTAACTCGGTTTGTAAGCAACCAACATTCGGTCACGGGTGCTACTCGATCACAGGGCAGATGTGACATCCAAGACAAGTCAGGCCACTATAAGCGCACTTTGTTAAAGTGAACTTGTCGACTGGACAGACAGACAGACAGACATTTTCCGTTTAAAACGACGACACTACTAAACTTTGATATGAGTAGTTTATGGGGGTGATCTGCAATTTGTGAACACAAATTGTGATCTGATGGTAACATCGAGGCCGTCTCAATTTGGATACGAATCAGACAACTGTTGGGCGGCCCAAACTAATCACAGGCTCTAAATGTGACTTGTGTGGATGGCTGAGTTGTGACCAGATGGAAGGGGAGGGGAGGGGAGGGGAGGGGCGGACGTACCACGGTGAAGAGAGCCATGAACCGGATGATGTCGGAGACCATTCGAGCCAGCGAGATCTGCAAGGGGCCCAGCAGCTCCCAGGCCGGCATGAGGTAGCTGATGCGAGAGAAGGAGAGCAGGTTGGCCAGCGCAAACAGACAGTCGGACACGTACTCCGGGTCGTCCGAGGCCCACCATAGTCGGCCTGCCTCACGAGTCGTCAAGGCG